ACCTTCACTCTATATATATGAGACGCTGATTGAAATTCATGCCAACAAAGGTAAGTTTTAACGTAAACTCCAACGTCCATGATCACGATACAAGATCTAGAGATGCTATAGAGCACAACGTTTTTAGGTTGACAAAGAGCGTAAAAAATTTGACTGACGTTAGTTTGTATAACTTTTTGCCAGATGAAGTAAAAAGTCTTCACTTGTTATCATTTAAGCAAAAAAATCAAATCACACTTTTTGAAACATTGTTTCTATTCAAAAACGGAGTACTTAAGTACAGCTTTTACACAATAGTACTAGTTTGGTCAGGGCAGTTGCCTATTATAATTATATTTCATGTTTTTTTTTATAATTCCACAAAGTGTGTTTGTCGTTTTTTTTTAACTGTTAATATTAAATACATACATGTTTGTAATGTTTAAATTGTCAAAAAAAAATTTTATATGTTTTATAAGTATTGTCACTATTCCTTTGACTTGTCAAAAACAAAACTATTTTTGTATATTGATTCTATTCTATTCTATTAGATTGCGTACGCAGTGAACCTGTTAAGGATAATGAAGAAAGAACAAGACGTGAAACGACAATAAAAAAAGACATTATTTGAAACATTCATATATAATGCGTAGAAAAAAAAGTACGACATTGCACTGTTTATAATCCAAGACAAAATAGAGGACAATGAGTGTGCAAAGAGCATTTTAGCTAAAAGACCTTAGGAACACTTTAGGAACAACTGTTTCACAAGTTGGAGTTTACACGTACGATACAACGAAAATAAACATCGATTATTGTTGTAAATTACACCTGTATTTTTAGCTTTTCTTTTTTTATCACCGTCTTATATCATTACGATATATCAACAAATTATCTCATGTAGTTTAGCCTTAAATAGTCGTCTTTTTTTGTATTGTTGAGAAACAAATTTCTCTCCATTTCCAGTTTTAGCCGAGTTGCAAGCCAATTAAAACTTCGTAGTGCACATCGAGTGCCAACCATACGAGAAAGGCTGGCGCCAGCACAATTTTAAAACGTTTATTAAATTTGCTATCTAAATAAACAGACTTGGAAGTTTGCAAGACGCACTAGGGGAAAGAAAATAAACGCATATTATGCAGGTAATAATTTTCGTTATTAAAATTTAGCTAAATATTCTGAGTACAGTAGAGACTGCGGATCTTTACCAGTGCGCCATTAATACAGTATATAATAAAAGAAATTGTTTATAACCTAGAAATAAGATAACATGTCAAAACCGTTTTCTTACAAAACTTCTGTACTTCTTATTATAAATTAATTTTATTTCGTTCTTTCTCTTCGCAGATTAATCTTTGTTTAGATATTTATCTCTTATTACAAAGATACATAGTGATTGTTACCAATTTATGGTATTTCCTAACTCTAGTATATAGAACTGCTTCCTTTATTCTTCCTGAATTAAAATGATTCATTGATTTTTTAGAAGGAGATATAACTTCAAAAAGGCAAACAGAGAAACGTATGTAGACATGTTAATTTTGAGCTGATACGTCTTGAACCAAAACCAGAAAAATTTCGAAAAATTTTTAGAATAAATAAATAATGTGACTAGAAAAGTTATCCTCAGGGGACGTAGACAACAATATGTTTAGGTGGTAAACAGTAAGTTCAAGGAAGTAATGAGAACATACAAAACCCTCTATACAGCTGAGAAACAGCCCTACTTCAACAACTGTGTCAAATCAGAAAGGAAAAGTGGATCAAAATCCTATAAAAATGGACCTAGTGGCAAGATAACATAAAAGTGGTGATCCTAAGAAACATAAACCACCTTGCAAGTTTACAGCAAACCAAGTCGCTACTCAACTACGTGTGAATGGAAGAACTAAGAACCAATATAAAGACCCAAACACTAGAAGAAGGCTGAATCAGAAAACAAACCACTTGGGAACTCCATTTAGACTAAAAAAACTCAATGATGGTGATGGAGTTTTCCTCCGATTTCCACCAATTGTTGTGGGGAAAGCTTATTAAATTCCTTTCCCCGTGCGTGTACAGTTCCAAATATTTTAGGACCATGGACTGTACAAGAGTGTTTCCTTCGATATATACAAGCAGAACTTCACGGCGCTGGTTCTTTATGTGTTTGATTTAATAGGGGTTGTACTTAGAGAAAAATAAGCGTAATTAATTGAATCTACACATTTAATAACAAGAGAATATTTACACAAGCACTAATACTAACGAAAGAGTTCGCTTTAAAAACATTGTCCATTATTATTATCAGCGTTTTACGGGCGCGCGAAATTATCGAGAAAAACAAATACACGTTTCACTGCATTTTGGCGGCGAAGAGAGAGCTTAGGTACCGGCTACTAGTACCAAACAGCTTGAGACACTAGTCACATCTGCGAGAGATTTTGAATTGAATCTTTACCTTTGCCGACAAGGCGGCGTCGGTTTTACCACTTTAAACAACCCTTATAAGCTATTTATGGCACAAATAGTTTGCAGCAAAAAGTACAGTCTTTAACATAATCCAAACTAATATTTGTAAGAACTAAAAATTATACTAAAATTAATATAAAATGTTGTTTTACAACAGATGGTATAAACAGGCTACAAAACGGGAAATCTGCAGGTGTAGATGATATATATTGTTCTTAGACTTCTATCGTCCATTTTTTGACATAAGCCTCTCCTAACTCCTTCCATCTATCTCTAATCTAAGCAACATACTTCCAATTTGTTCCGGTTATTCTTTTTATGTCGTCTACCCATCAGATCTATGGTCTTCCTCCTACAGCAAAGATCTAGGACCATCTTCTAATCGCGTTACACTTCCAACTTTAGGCTGCTGATTTTTTTGGTCGTCCAAGCGACGATTCTTATTGAATACGGATCAGATTCCTTTAGTCATGTACAAGTATTGGGCAACACAGTGGGCTAGAGAGACGTTTTTCGGAACAATAAATGCTTCATGCTGAATTTCTGTGATCACGCCGAATCTAGCACTCTTTCTTTCTGCGTAATTTGACATAAATTCCTTAAAGCTTTGTCGTCGGTTATCTTTGATCTCATGTTTAAGGGTTCATGCTTCTGTTTCATTTGAGCCAGCTTAAGGTGCAAGAAGATTTATGTGAAACAATTTTTGGTTTACCTTTTGGCAACTTCCTAATTTCGGCATATTACGTCATTTATTCTTTTTTAATTTCATACGGACCTTCCCAATGTTTTTTACATTTTAGGAGAAAAGCCTCAACGATGCTGTGGATTATAAAGCCAGACAAGTTCACCTATTTCAAAGATTTCATAAGATCTTTCATAATTTTAGGCGATCGACATATTCTTCGCTTGCAACAAGTTCTTCGGAAGGTCTGCAGCCAAACTCTAGCTCGCAGGGTAAACGAACTTCATGACCCAACATCAGGTAGGTTGGAGTTCGGCCTGTAAATTCATTCACGGCCATTAGGAATAAATGAATGTGCTAGTTCCTAGGAATGTGCTAGGTGTTTACACATCGTCTGGTTCATCTTCTCGACCATTCCATCTGATTGAGGATGTAGCGAGTGTCGTTCTGGTCTTAATGCTACCAATCAATTTACGAATGTTTTGGAAGAGGTTTGACTCGAAGTTTCGGCCATGGCCGGAGTGGATCTCCAAGGGAACACCAAAGAATTCTTTAACAAGTATCACTGTAAGGGTAGCAGTTTGTTGATTTAGTATCGCATAGGCCCCAGTCCATTTAGTAAAGTAATCCATCTTCTTCTTGCAGCTACCGTCTCCTATCGGAGGTTGGCTACCATCACAACAATCTTTACTTTCATTGGCTGCAGCGCTGAACAACTTTATACATACCACTCCTTAAATTTCGCAACCAGGAAATCCTCCTACGTCCCACATTTCTCTTTCCCGAGATTTCTCCTTGGATTAGACAGAGAGTACTTTTCTCCTCTCATTATGTGGCCCAGATATTCCAGTTTTTTCGTTTGTATAGTTTTTATGAGTTCGCATTCCTTCCCCATCTTGAGCAGAGCATCTTGATTTGTTACTCTTTCTGTCCATGGTTATTTCCACATATATATTCTCCTGTAATACCACATCTCGAATGCCTCAAGTTTTTGATGTTTATCTTTTTCAGTGTCCAGGCTTCCATGCCGTACAGCAAAACGGAGAAATCATAGCACCTAACATTCTCGTTCTTAAGTTTATATTTATGTCCCGGCTGCATAGGAACTTTTTCATTTTGACAAACGATTGTCTCGCTATCTCTATTTGCCCTTGATTTCTCTTGTCTGGTCACTAGTATCAGTGAAGCAAACCCCTAAATATTTGTAGAACGTAACTCTTTCAACTGGCTGATTATTTATGGTTAAATTCACATTGGTGTATAGCTTCTTTGTTACAATCATGAATTAAGTCTTTTTGATGTGAGTATTTAGACCATACTTCTTGGTATGGGTTTTATGTTTTCAATCAAAAACTGTAAATTTGCTAGGTTATCTGTTATCTGTTACTATAAATAATCTATAGCTACCAGAAATATTTAATTTCCATCATCCGTTTCTGGAAATGGACCTGCAATGCTGATTGCTACTCTTTCCATAGAACTACCAACATTATACTGTTTTATGTGTGCCTTCTTTTTACCAACTGACCAATACTGGTTGCACACAGTTCACATTTCCTTCACCATCTTCACTGTTTACCCAATAGAACCGTTCTCGAACCTTTTGCAGTATTGGTAATACCAAACTGTCCACTTGATGCATTGTAATTCAATCGATGCAATACTTCTGACACTTTACTTTTAGCTACAATCAATTGAAGCTTAAATTCTGTCACCAAAAAGGTAATATAAAATTTTCAAAACTTGTGTCAACTATTTGCATTAAAAGTTAATTAATTTTCAACACAAGAAAATGGTAAAAGACAAGAATTAAATCCAAACGCAACAGTTTATATAGATTTAATTTAATTTAGGTTTATGTAGATAATGAAAATCTTAATCTACTTACCTCAACGCACAGCGAATCGTGATTGAAATATGCTCTCACTGCTAGAGAGCCATACGGACTGGTCTGTATGGTAATCTGTTCTTGTAGTCGTTGACTGTAGAACATTTCTATTAAAGTCTCTGTATCGGTTCTATGATACTGCAGTTTCTCTTCAACCTGTTGATAAAACGGAGATCGTATAAGGTCCATGCTGATGCCTTGGCCGTCTGCATGGAAGAATTCTACGATAAGCTCCAAGGCAGCGTGAAGTCTCTCGTGGAACATGGCGGGAAGTTCGTCGCTGTTGACTCCGCTCTCCATTTGGTGGTTAAATTCAACGAGGGTGAAGTCCCAAATCTGTAAATATCGTAAAAGGATTCAATGGTTACCATATCAGTCAAGTTAAATAGTAAAAATTGTATTGTATGAAATATTTACCTCTTGAAGAATTTTTTGAACATTCTGCGCTAACAAAGCCACATTCAGTGCTATCAGATGTCCTCTAAGGAAGTCGAACAATGGTTCAACAGCTTGATCTGTTGGTAAAGTATCAGTGTGACCACGCCACATGGAACATTGCCTTTCTTAAAGTCTCTTGCATTTGCAGACCAGCTCTCCTAATGATGTCCCGTATTCTGACTTGGAATTGGCTCAAAGTACTGCTTAGTTGGGTGGTTAAAGGAGAAAACTGCGTCTCTGTCGTTAACGATTGTAGAGTAAGAAAATCGAAATAGTTTTCTGAAACCAACAAACCGATATTAGAGTACACTTTGCTTTTCAACTCGTAAGCACTTACCTAACAATGAAACGAAGTGATAAACGTATTCGAGATTATTCACAGATATGCACAATTCGTCGCTAATTCTAAAAGGTCCCAGTTTATCAAAATATCCAGTCTCCATCAGTCCTTGGTATATGGTATCGGCGTAAAGTAAGGCCGCAGAGCAAATGCAGTCCAACAATTGGGATACTAACAGTATTGACTGTGCTTTAGGCCACTGTAGGTAACGCCAAAATTCTCTTAATTGACAAAACATTGTTACAATATCCACAGACGATGAACTATGTCGAACGAATTTCTCTCCTTCGCAAATTTTTTGGATCATTACCGCTGTTCGAACCTGAAATTAAAAAGGGATTGCAACATTTTTGAAAACATTTACGAATAAAAGTCAACAAACAAAAAACCCACACTCAAAATGTAGTATATCGTTGCTACAATGATTCCGAAAAGTATCATGTATCAAAGGTAACAGCAAATTTGTAAAGTTTTCGGTTCAGCAAATGAATACGTCTAATGAAATCTCTTTCTAACCCGAAATCCTTTTCTATGGGCAAATTGTATTATACGGCCCGATATCCAGTAGGATCTAATGAATTTTGGTCAAATTAGTTAAGATTAATACCCAAGATAAAGCATTTAAATCTGAATCAAACCGGCATTAGCTCTGAACAATTTTGAATATACCGAATAGGGCGAGGTGTTGAGAGAATACATCGTTATTGGAACGGAAAACATTTGCTGGAAATGGAACACGTATTGTAATACTTTCATTTTTAAATTGACGTTTCCATTAGCTACTGAATAATGGTTTACAGGAAAATATTTTAAATCGTTATTTTGTTAGGAAAAAAAGTGGAAAACAGTAATGTAGATGTGGGTATTATAGATTGGAATCAAATTTTATTGGATACCTTTTTAAACAACTTCGTATAACGTATTGTACTAAAAAAAAATTAAACTAAGACGTACAACATATGAAAGAGACATATGTACTTTTGGTGCAGTTAAAAAAGCAGAAGTTTTTTTATCATCAACCCCCATTTTTTATGGCTATTTTAGTAATTTAATCATTTTTCATCTCGCTCGATAACTGATCTTATAGTGTTTTTAACTGTACTTCGATTAAAAATCTAAAATGTTTTTTAAGAAAATAAACATTTATTTTTATTATTAAAGTTTGATCCTATATATGCTTAGTGTTACCGTTGTGTTACTAATCTTACATTCTTCAAATTTCCCGCACCTTTACTGGTGATAGAAATGCCACACCTATACCATAAACTGAAGCCGGTCTCCTGTTTCACTCACACAAGACTTATCTCACTCCCTACACAGTTTTCGGCCCATCCATGACTATTTTTTTATGCATCAAGTGTAGTAGTAACGTTCACAATTATCAATTTTCTATTTCTGTGTAACTCTCATAATAACTATTAATTATTACTATTTTATTTATAATAATAAAATTATTAATTTTAAGTGTATTTAGCACGATTGGATCAGTTAATGAAGTTTTATTTAAACAAGTGACTTACATAACCTTACAAGTACTCAACACGTGTCACGAGCTCCAACCCAACAACGGGTTCTGTGTTGTAAGTATACTTTTTTTATATAATTATTTGAATTTTTTACAACTATTGTTTCAAATTTTTTTTCATAAAAACTAATATTTTCGCTATAATCCTGGCCCGTAATTATTAATTATAACGTTTTCCATCATTAAGTAATTTCATTAATTCTAATTTATATGTGTTTTGTAGAGTGAGCAATGCCAAGAAAACGCGAACGGGCTGATTTGAGCCGTAATACAAGTAGGTCCAGAAGTATGAAAGATAAAAGATCCCAAAGAATCGAAGAACAAGTCCAGCAATAAAATGCTGATGCACGTGTGAGCATTCAGCAATTGCGTCAAGAACAATCAGAAGATACACGAACTGAGCGCAATGAAGTTATACGTTTAGAACAACGACAATCACGATGTTTTACGGTTAAATAGACGAAGAACAAATGACCAACAACGCCAACAGGTACATCGTGCATTTACATCTGATTCATTTTTTGCGTTTGGCATTCAGTACGAGCCCGATATTGAATATTATGCTCATTCAAAAGTGGTAATTGGTGCTATGGATAAGGAATGTCCGCATTGTGATGCTCTCAAATTCATAAAATGAGCCAACCTGGGGTGTGTCACCGCGTCAGGAAAAGTGCAACTACTTGAAATTGAAAACACCCACCACCTGAACCATTGAATGGTTTACTTATCGGCACCGGATCCATATTATAAACGTATTCCTTAAGTCACTTCGAACATTCAACTTCGCTTTCAAATGGGATGAATGTACTATGGCACACAAATATTCAATTGAGGCGTTAAACAGGACATTGAAAGATATTAAAAACAACGACAAAACTATTTGGCGGAACTCTGTTGGTGCTTTCAGGTGATTTCAGACAAACACTTCCGTCATTACCACATTCAATATACGCTGATATGAGATCAACGCTTTGCTTAAAATCATCTCCATTGTGGCGTAATGTTGAAAAAGTACAGCTGAAGAGTAAATATGCGCGTTCAAATGCTATCAAGATCCATCCGCTGAAAACATTCTCAAATAACTCTTAGATATCGGTGATGGAAAGTTGCTACAGATGAAACTGGATAAAACAAATATTTCCTGATGTACACACACAGTACATAAATCATGAGTGGCTTGCAGAAAGAGCTATTTAGCAGCAAAAAATGTAGACGTCAACAATTTAAAATTTGAAGATACAACAGTTGTTGCCAGGGAAACTTGGTCTCATACAAATCTATTGATACAGTTTGCGATGCCAGTGAAGCAGTCAATTTTCCCACAGAATTTTTGAACTCACTGGATTTTGCCAGGCATGCCACCGCATAATTTACAATTGAAAGCTGGATTTCCAATTATCTTGCTTCGTAATTTAACCCGCCACGGCTGTGCAACGGTACGCGATTAGTCATTCAAAAATTGATAAAAAACGTTATCGAAGCCAGCATTTAAATGGCAAATTCAAAGGTGAAAATATATTAATACCACGGATTCCTATCATACCTACAGATGTGCCCATTCAATTCAAACGAATTCAGTTTCCGATTAGATGCATTTGGCAATAACAATTCAACAAATCTCAAGGCCAAACGATGTCTATTTGTGGCTTTAGATTGAGTACACTATGTTTTCCACACGGGCATGTAGCATGCTCTCGAGTGGGTAAACCATCCAGTTGTTTGTGCTCGATAAAGATGGTCCTAACAAAAATATTGTCCACGCTATAGCATTAAGAGATTGATTTTGTTTGTTAGGGTTACTATCGTAATTAATATGTGATATGTAATTTTAAGTAATAAACTATATTAACATAAGAAAGGAGACCGAACAGACCTAAACAACTACCGTCCTATTTCCCTTTTGTCACAACTATATAAAACCTTCACAAGAATAATAAACAATCCGACTAACCTATAAACTTGATAACTAACCAACCAGTGGAACAGGCCCGATTCAGAAAAGGATACAGCACAATCGACCATCTACATACGCTTAAAACTCTTAATTGAGAAAACCAATGAATACAAATCCTTCCGCTGTACTTAGCATTCGTAGATTATGAAAAGGCTTTCGACAGCATTGAACACTGGGGCGTTGAAGAAGCTCTGGTCAATAATAGAATAGATTCAAGATACCGACAATTGATACATGATATTTACCAAAACGCAACCATGACCGTAATTCTGGACGACAAATTAATAACGGATAATATAAAAGTTAAACGAGGAGTCCGACAAGGCGATATAATTTCACACCTAAACTGTTTACCTTGACCCTCGAAGACATAATAAAATCAACAGATTGGGAAAACAGAGGAATATGTATTAACGGAAAATACCTAAATCACCTTAGATATGCGGATGATATACTCCTGATCTCCTCGGAAACGACAAGAACTGGAATTAATGCTGAATGAACTTCATGAAAAATCACTGCAAAAAGGCCTAAAAATTAACTTCAAACAAAACAAAAGTAATCACAAACACGGAAGACCAAGAGGTAATAAAAATAAAAACAGAAAAAAATAGAACAGGTAAATGAGTATATCTATCTAGGACAAGCAATCAGAGCTAATAGAGAAAATCAATACAGCCGAAATATCGAGACGAGTAAGAATGGGATGAGGCAGCGTTCGGACAAACTTTCTTACGTTCTAAAAAATCAAACAATCCCTCTATACTTACGAAGCAAGGTATATAACTCCTGTAATCATACCGGTGCTCACCTACGGAGCACAGACATGGACATTTACACAGGCCAATTTGGATAGGATAGGAAGGCACAAAGAGCGATGGAGAGACAAATGTTGGGTGTATCACTTAGAGATAGAAAACGTAACCAGTGGATCAGAACCAGAACAAAGACAGTAGACGCGATAGAACAAGCAGCAAAACTGAAATGGAAATGGGCTGGACACAATGAACGTCCACGGACGATGGAAAATGCCATCGGAAAGTGGCGTCCATACAATGCAAAAGAGATCAAGAGGCAGACCACAGATGAGGTGGAAAGATGACATCAGGAAACAAGGAGGTCCCACAATGCAGAGAACAGCTCAAGATAGGGAAAGATGGAGAGAACTGGGGGAGACCTATATCCAACAATGGAAGGATAGAGAATAGGTTCAAAAAATCGTAAATAATATATTGTTTGGACGTGTGTTATTTTTGTATTCCCTTATCGTTGATACGCGCTCTTGCCCATTTCACGCATGTACACATACTTACACACTTATAATAAGTAAGGAACTTTTGTCTACACTAGAATTTATCTAGAAACTAGAAATAATTTATAAGCAAACAGCGTTTGCCGGGTCAGCTAGTTGTTATATAAAATGTCTTGTAAACAAAGAATGGATTGACATATTGAAATGAAACTTCATATCGTTCATATGAAGAGTGTTCCAACATAACAAAACAAAGTTTGGCTAATAGCAGCGCCCTCTCTTATCGAACCGCAAAACTTATTGCAGCCTAATATTTTGAGATAAGATTATTTGTAGATAATGACTTCTTTTTAGTATTTATCAAATAATCTTTATAATTTTATAAATTGTTAGTTTACCAAATTGTACCGTTAATCAGACGTCGTCAAGATATTTAAAGTTGCATAGTAAATGTTTTCTACTGAAACATTCTCTTTCTAGTTGGTCTATAAAATCGTCAACAAATAGTAGATTTAAAACCGTATTTCTTATAAAAAAAAACGCTATTTTCAAATAAAATTTCATAAAATTCATAAACTTTTATTAATTTTA